TGGGCACAGCCTTTTCCAGAGGATTCTGGAAAAAAGTGGGACAGACACTCTTGCTATGAGACATTCCTGTTGATAAACCACATAGAGCTACGCTGATGGAGCCAAAGCCCTGGAGCTGGAGGAACCACGTGGAGACCCACACCAGTGCTGAGGTGCTTCCACCACCACTGGGTCCACAAGACTTTTCACCCACTGGCCTGTGATCTTCCTGCATTTAGCATCATTGCATGTGTTGCATGAGTCTACAGAGTAATTTATAGACTGGTATCGGGCATATGGGCTAATATAGGACTTATGGACTTGATCTGGACTGGGCTTGGGTGTTTTCTTAATATACAATTACTCTTTAATATAAAGTTATCTCTTACACACATATTAGTCTCCCTAGATATGTTTCTCGAGTCTACCTGGACTAACACACATGGAATGCCAATAGAATAAACAAATCTGTCTTGGAAGAAATACAGCCAGAATGTTCCTTAGAGACAAGGATGGCAAAACTTCGTCTTACATATTTTGGACATGTTGTCAGGAGAGACCAGTCCCTGGAGAAGGACGTCATGCTTGGTAAGGTAGAAGGGCAGTGAAAAAGAAGGAGACCCTGTACCAGATGGATTGACACAGTGGCTGCAACAATGGGCTCAAACCAAAGACTAAGTGTGAGGCCGGCCCAGGACCTGCAGTGTTCCCTTCTGTGGCTCACAGGGCCGCTGTGAGGTGGAGTAGATTCAATGGAAATGTAACACCAACAACATTGTCACATCACTGTTAGCAGTGTATTATAATTACTATTTATAAATCTCTAGTCTCCTCCACTAGCCTATACATTTTTTGAGGGGCGACCTGGGTTTCATTGACCTTTGGCGAGTACTACAGAGTTAATGAATAGCACATGTCCAATGAAAAAAATGTGAGCCAAATAACATTCAAGTGAATGAACATCACCCAGTGTAATTGGCTTAACTAGCTTTACAATTTTGTTTCAAAGCATTTTATTAGGGCATAATCCAAACATAATTCCATTCAATAGTTCACTCATATCAAGAAGTACTGTGTGATCGCTACTATATATCTTTATCATTTTTAAAAGTATAGTAAATTTATTATGTTCAATATCCAGCTAAGTAGAATTAAAAACTGATATCCTCAAAACACTCCTACAGTAAACTGAAAAACATATGAAATACTAATTTTGGGTATACAAAATTTGAAAACAATGCCTTTGCCATCTAGAAAAAAAGTGTTAGGATACATTTGTATTTTATAATCCAAACAGGTATTTATCTATGCAACTAAGCTTTTAAAGTAATATTTCCATTAAAATGAAAATTAATAAATGGATCACTGAAATCAATGGTAATACCATGAAAGACACAAAATCTGTATATTAACAACTTGCAAGAAATGAAGAGATTAACAACCCTCACCTCCAGGCTTGTTTTCGGAATATAAATTTTGGACAGTGTGTCGGCCATTGCAGTCCTGCAGAGGAGGCAGAACTTCAGACCACGGAGTATAGCTCTCCGATGGTTTTGTTTGCTGAAATTTTGTTTTAAATATGGGAAATGGTCGTCATAACTGCCAAAGAACTACTTCTCAAGTTCTCTTGCATTCCAATCTTATATAACTTAAATATTCCAGTTGTGATCTGTCAGAAGCAACTATTAAAAATTTGTTGGTTCAAACAACAGACGACCATAACCCAGTGACTACATTTTTTGAAATTTCTGATTTCTTCAGTAGGAAAATTTGATTCATTCTTAATATGCTTTGATATGTGTTACTACTGTAACTATTATTAGTGTTACTGTTTTAAAGTTATCTATAACTCACATCCTCTGCATCAAAACTAAAAACCCAAGTGAAGCGAACCTGGGCATAGACCTGGCCCTACAGTGTCCAGAGGAAAGGATAAAGAAGCAGAATACTAGAGGAGGAACAAGAAGCTATATGGAGTGGTGAACTGTGTACACACAGAGCACCCACATTGTGAATTATTAATGCAGGCTTCCGACTGTACCAAGACACAACCAGCTCCCCTCACGTGGACTCCACCAGCACCCACGAGGGAGCAGGGAGATATGAACTCTTCCCCTACCTGGCACAACCCCCTAGTGACCAGAAGTGAGGCCTCGCCACAGACACCAACCGTTAGCATATCAAACACTAGCCCACGTCTTCTTTTTCCTCTCAAAGCTGTTCTCTCTTGCTGCTCCAATCTTTTCATTGTCCTTCCACTTCCCTCCCACTTAAAAAAAATCTTGCTGAGGAAGGTCCCAACCCCCACCCCCAGCTCGATTAGCAGTGGCCACACATGGCCTCCCTCCCTGGTTGGGAGTGTGCGTCGGCTCCCTGAGGGCTCGCTGTGTTTCACCTGTACCTTGTCAGGTCATCAGCTCGTTGGCCATGACTGTGCTGCCATTTCCTCCTTCCTGTATCTGCCCTCCACCACTCATCGGTGAGTTTGTCAAAGTGTGGTGGCTTTGTGTGGCTGGTATGCCATCATTATTTCAACAGGATTGCCCATAGTGGACAAGTCTTAGCTAAGCTTCCAAATGAAGATAGATTAGGGAGAAGGGTCTAACAATGTCCTGTTGGAAAAAAAGCTGGCCAGTGAGATCCTTATGAATAGCAGGAGAGCACTGAGAATCTCAGTGCCGGATGATGAGCCCCTCAGATTGGAAGGTACTCAAAATACACCTGGAGAAGAGCTACCTCCTCCGAGTCAGGTTAATTTTAAATATGTGCAAGGAGCTAAGCTTGCAGGACTTTATTTGTTGATGTAGCACTTCTCAGACACTGAATGGACAACAGCAAACATCCCCTAATAATTGGATGTGGAATTTATAAAGTGTAAATCTAGGAAAACTGGAAGTCATAAAAAGTTAAATGGTATGTATTGGTGAGTTAAGATGGACAGATGTTGACTATTTTGAATCACATAATTATACGGTCCACTATGGCAGAGACAACAAATTGAAGTTTAGTCATTACAAAGAAAGTTTCAAGATCTATCCTGAAGTACAACACTCTCAGTCACAGGATATTATGCATCTGCCCACAAGAAAGATCAGAAAATACTATTATTCAAATTTACACACCAACCACTAATGACAAAGATAAAGAAATTGAGGATTTTTAATAACTTCTGCAACCTGAAATTGATCAAACATGTACTCAAGATGCGCTGATAATTAAAAAGTGAAAGTTGAAAACAGAGGATTCAGTAGTTTGACAAGAATGCCTTGATGCCAGAAATGACATGAGATCGATCACATGACAGAGTTTTGCACACCCAACACCTTGTTCATTGCAAATACCTCTATTCAACAACATAAGTGATAGAATGGGGACCTCACCAGATAGAATACACAGGAAGCAAATTGACTACATCTGTGATCAGTGAGAACAAATCCAGGGGCCATCTACAGAACAGACTATCAACTGTTTATATGCAAGTTCAGGTTGAAGCAAAAGAAAATTAAAATGAATGCAGAATAGCCAAAATGCCACTTTGTGTATATCCCAACTGAATTATGAGACTGTCTCAGGAATAGACGTGATGCCCCGAGCATTAATCTGAAGGCTGGGCAAATTGGGAGATGACACCATACACGGAGAAAGCAAAGAACCATTAAAAAGACAGGAAAGAATAAAATTCTTTGAATACCAGAAGATACTCTGAAACTAGCTCTAGAGTAAGAAACTAAACCTAAAGGAAAAAGATCAAGTAAAAGAGCTGAACAGAAGATTTTAAATGGTGGATCGAGAACACAAAATAAAGTATTACAATAAAAATTGCACAGACCTGGACTTAGAAAACAAAAAGGAAAAAACGTGGCTAGCATTTCTCAAAGGTAAAAATAACTAAAAAGAATTCAAGCCTCAAGTCGCATCATTAAAGGCCTCAATGGGGACAATAATGAATGACACAGAAAGCATCAAGAGATGGTTTATGGTGTTCTCTAACATAAAATGACTATGAATGCCCTTGGGGCTCCAACTTAATTCTAGCCCCAATCTAAAAACAATTCGTTCTTATGACATGGTTCTGCTTGATGCTTGCCCTCATGAAGAGCTCACCGAAGCATGTGGTGAAGAAACTAGATGGTGTCCAGCAACCATAAAGATTAACGTCTGGGGTCTACAGAAAGGCTTGTCTTCAAACAAGTGAGGTGGCAAAAAGTCCACATGGAAGAAAGACACCTTTCTGTGATCCAAGGATTGTAGATAATACAATCCAAATGTGAAGGAGAGAATG